TATAACTTGGTTAAAATAGTAGTTAACTCTAAGTAGCTGGATAACAAGACCAATTGTCTGATATGTCCTCTCCATATTTGTGTCAAAAAGATCATTTCAAAAACACATAGGGAACTTATTTTTCCAATTCCTTATGGCCAGGCATGTGCATCTGCTTTATTTAAGAGCAGTTTTGTATTGAGATTCAAGTTGAAAAGGAAGGAGGAGCCAAAGCACAGCCCTAATTTAAGAGGTTAAAGATTGTCTGATCTTGCAGAGATTGTGTCTGCCAGCTGTTTCACTTAGGAATGTGGAAGATATCATCTTTGTGTTCACATTAATAACCAAGTGTATATAGAGAGCTCTTATAACTTAATCTATAACTTGTTCTTGTCTAAAGAGTCAAAGCTCAAATAAGTCCATGATAGCTACAGGTAAGATACACTGCTTTTAGCAGAGTTCTCCACAAGATCATGGATGATAGCCGTAATGTCATAATCATACCTAAAGTCCTCTTACTTAGAACAGGAGCCTAGTAAACCTACATCTGTCATTTGGTAATAAAGACGCTAGCATACAGTTTTAATGAACAAGTCCTGCAAACTGATGGTCTCTTGTGAGGAATAAGAAGCTTGCAATTTTGAAAATGTATAGTTTCTGCCAGAGAGTAGACAAGTATTAGAACTCTAAATTCGGAGCAGGCTTTAACACATCGTGCAGCCAAAGATCTTTAGCTAGTGCCTTAAAAAAAATTTTTTTTAACAAATAAAATATAAATTACTCGTGAACCCAACACTTTTTAAAAATATAAAATAATGGGGGCTGGCCCATGGCTGAGTGGTTAAGTTTGCACGCTCCGCTTCGGCCGCTCAGGGTTTCGCCGGTTCGGCTCCTGGGTGCGGACATGGCACAGCTCATCAGGCCATGTTGAGGCGGCATCCCACATGCCACAACTAGAAGGATCCACAACTAAGATATACAACTGTGTACTGGGGGATTTAGGGAGAAAAAGCAATAGAAAAAAAAAAAGGAAGATGATTGGCAACAGTTGTTAGCTCAGGTGCCAATCTTTAGGGGGAAAAAAGCGCTAAAATTTAAAAATTAAAAATTTAAAAAAATAAAAATAAATAAAAATATAAAATAATAAACAAATGACTTCCTTATCCCTGCTATCTCAATACTGCCCCCCAGAAAAGCCTGTTCTCCCCCCACAAAGGTAAGATATATGTAGATATATGATATGTACAATATTTACATGCATGTGTTCATGTATACGTATTGTATGTTTTTCAAAAATGAAAACATAAACACTGTTCTGCAACTTGTTTTTGTTTCTGGCATTTAATAATTATTGACGTCTTTGTAGGTCAGTTCTTGTAGCTCTACCTCATTCTTTTTAAAAGCTGCTAAGAACGATGTAATAGTCCTTGAATGAATGTACCATAATTTAAGCATTTTTTATTGGTGTGTATTAAGGTCATTTCTAACTTTTTGATATTTCATATGATGCTGCTATGAACATTCTGATAACCATCTTTACTCATACTTTTGCATCTACAGGACGTAGTATGTATGCTTTTTATTTTAATAGGGGCTGCCAAATTATTCTCCAAAAAAAATTGTGCCCATAGGTAGCCCCATGATATAAATGAAGTTACCCATTTTGTTATATCCTCTCCAGAACCACTCTATGCTTTTTAATTTTTTAAATAAAAAAGAACTATATTAAGAGGTATTGCTCAAGAAGGTTTAGGATATTTGTCATTAATACTGTGAAGCTAAGGGCTGGCCCCGTGGCCGAGTGGTTAAGTTCACACACTCTCCTTCAGTGGCCCAGGGTTTCACCGGTTCGAATCCTGGGCGTGGACCTAGCACCACTTATCAGGCCATGCTGAGGCAGCATCCCACATAGCACAACCAGAGGGACCACAACTACAATATACAACTATAGACTGGGGGGCTTTGGGGAGAAGAAGGAAAAATGAAATCTTTTAAAAAAAAGACTGTGAAGTCAAAGAAAGTTGGGAATAAATCCTTTTTGCAGAACCATACTATGGGTAACCATATCCCAAAATCTTCTTTCAATATTGATTTTAACAGCCAGCCCCATGTTCTTCTCCAAGGATTTAGTATTAAGGATCTGGGATTTTTTCTTTTTTTGTACAGTAGTAAGACCCTGTGTTCTCCCACATGATGTCTCAGAAATCTTGCCAAGGTCTTTTTGCTTCCTGATATTCCTTATCAAGAGTGAGGAAGTTGAGGCCTACTTTGCTTAAACCTGGGCAACCTAAAGCGAGGCCAGTTTTTTAACCATCTCTTGATAAGAGGTGGGCCAGGACTTTTATTGAGGAAATCGAGCAGAATCCTTTGACAATAGCACACCCTTCATGCCATCTCAGTTTTCTTAGCTCTTTGATCTTAACTATTCTGATTATTGCCATCAGTATCCTCAGAGGTAATTATAGAAGGTTGAAGTTGGAGAAAAGGGCACTCTAACCACGGTCTAAGGTACCTAGCCTAGATGATGAAAAGCAGGAAAGTGCAGAGTATAATGTAGTTTAATATTCTGCCTATCATGTGGAGATAACATTTCCCTTTGATTTGTCCCACAAATACATATTTATAAGTATAGTGATGCTTTTATTTAAGTTAATGTTACCATATTTGGAAGACTAAATACTCATTGTGGGCTCTCCCCTCAAAAAGAATCTCTCTAGCTAACCCTGGCAGCCTGTCCCACCAAGTCTTATATTTGGGTTTCTAAAGATAATTATCTGTATTGTTGAGTACATAAAATAAGGAGAAGTCAAAAGTTAGTAAATAATAGCAGACATTTAGACAGACTCTTGTGGAGTAGTAGGAGGGATTTAAGCACTGAGGCTTATCAAATCCATCTTAATAGGGAGCCAAATCAGGACTGGAAAGACCAAGCTCTTATTACTTGAATACAGGAGCACAGTGAATCTATTTGTCTTCTCTCTCTCTTTTTAATGTACTATAATGTCAAAATCCAGACGAAAAGCTAACTCTTTGAGATCTTGATATTTAGAACCCCAGTCAATATTTTAAGAATAGAATTATGTGTTGGCATGTGTGCTTCAGGGAGTCTCCTAGGTCTGCATTTGACCTCCAGCCTGATGTTTCATGTCAATGTATTGTGCTTGCTTTTGTGGAGAATCTTTCTGTTGAAAGGTACTGAATTCTAACTAGGATGGTCACCTATAAAGCTTCTCACCTCTGCCCCCCATGTATAGTATTATAGTTATACAAATTGTTCAGGGATTAGTGATGATTTGGCAGAAACAGGATCTTGAGATTATGGAACTCCATAAAGGTACTATATAATGGATGACAAGAAAAAGCCGCAGCATTTCAGCAATGCAAGAATGTTTGTTGCATTGGATAAATTTACTGTTTCAGGAATTGAGGTACCCAGATTGAGGATATATATATGTATTTGGGAGTAGAGTTGGTAATCAGTATTGAAGAAGATGGGAGATTCATGCTATTAAGGCGAGCCATCAGGGTGGTAACAAGGCTGCCTCAAAAGAAAAAGAAAGACATCCAGCCTTTCCATCTATGGACAGATGTACCAAATGTGGTATACACATACAATGAACAATTACTCAGCATTAAAAAGGAAGGAAATTCTCACACATGCTACAACATGGATGAACCTTGAAGATATGCTAAGTGAAATAAGCCAGTCACAAAAGGGAAAATACCATATGATTCCACTCATATGAAGTACCCAGAGTAGTCAAATTCATAGAGAAAGACATTAGAGTGGTGGTTGCCAGGGGCTAGGGGAGGGGGGAATAAGGAGTTATGGTTTAATTGGTACGAAGTTTCACTTTGGGAAGATGAAAAAGTTCTAGAGATAGATGATGGTGATGGTTGCACAACAATGTGAATGTACTTAATGCCATTGAACTGTACACTTAAAAATGGTTAAAATGGTAAATTTTATGTGTATTTTATCCAAATAAAAAGAAGTTTTAAAAAACTAAGAATATTTCAAAAATGCACATAACTTTCTGTCTGATGAAATTATTAACTCAGATTATTCCTAGTTCCAAAATGTGACTGATAGCCTCTAATCACTAAACAACAAAATTTTGTTCTTAAGCTAACTCAGAAGCTTTTTACACTTAAAGTAATCAGAGAATAGAAAATCTAGCCTTTATTCTTCTCTAGATTAATGCTTCCTGACCTCCATTTTGTAACACTCCAGGTTATCTCAAGGAATATTATAAAATTCTTTAAGCACAATAACTTTAGTTTACTCAAATCTTTGAAGTACATACCATATTGTACTTTTCACCACTTGCGAAAGAGCTTAGCTTCTTATTCAGATCAAAATGACCTTAAAAGGTGTTCATGAGTAAGGAGGGCTGTAAGCAGAAGTGACTTATTCGCTCTGCTCCCGCTCTGCCCTGTTTTTGCAAGTGGCTTATAGTGGAGAGAGTTATCAGGCTTTAAGCAAATAAATTATTTCAACTAATAATGCTTCAAAATGAATGTTCAACCTCTGTAAGACTGAGAAAAATTCTAGGCAATAAATATTTCCTGACATTGATGTGTTAAGTGAGTTTTATAACTTTTATAATCACTATTTTTTAGGTGTTCCAATATTATTATATCCTTTTTTCTTCATAACCATAAAATTCTTTATAAAGATATCCCTTCCCTAGCCTATTTCTTTTGATAACCCGAAGTGTGAAAATTGGTTTTTTACTTAAAATATTTTTAACTGATAAAATTTTTTTTTATCATCCCTTGACGTAAGTAGTTGAACTTGTCTGGTACTTACACATACATTATCAAGTGAAAGATTACTTTCTTCCCATATGTTTTATATCAGCAGTATTATCTTTGTAAATTGCTCCACCTTTTTGTGTGATTGTTTAAAAGAACTTCTGCCTTTTTTGTGTGTGTATTAACATAGCCAATTATTTATAGGCAAAAATCAGGAGAAACTACTTTATCCTATAATAAAGTTTGTCTCCATCTCTTTTTAGGATATTTTCTTTTCTGGATGTTGTTACCTTGTGTCGCTGTGCTCAGGTCTCCAGGGTAAGAATGGTTGACACAATTACAGGGGACCCCTTCCTGACACTGACAATATCAGCTTCTGTAGTAGGTGAACCGTTTACTTCAGATGTTAGCCGTGTGTTGTTGTGTTTCAAAGGATGTTGTTTCACCCATGGCATATGCAAACTCGTGGAATTCTACTATATGTACTGTCTCTAACTTTAATCTTTTGGAACTCTTGACTATTTGTATAATACAAACAGAGGAAACATTTTCAGTGAAAAAGCATTAAACATGCAAATTAAAAAGTTAGGCTCTGCTCAGAATTGTAGTAAGATAGTGTTCATTATGTTTTCCTGGTTTATTTTACGCACTCTCTCTCTCTCATACACACACACGCACACACACGCACACACACACAGAAGGCTGTTGAGGGTCTAATTCTCATGTTACCTCCCTGTATTCTCTCCTCAAAAGATAATAGCCAGAATTCAATTTTTTAAAAATTGTAGGGGCCGGCCCTGTGGCCGAGTGGTTAAGTTCGTACGTTCAGCTTCAGCGGCTCAGGGTTCAGATCCTGGGTGCGGACATGGCATGGCTCATTAGGCCATGTTGAGGCAGCGTCCCACATGCCACAACTAGAAGGACCCACAACTAAAATATACAACTATGTACTGGGGGAATTTGGGGAGGGAAAAAAAAAAACCGAAAAATTGTAGAGCAAACCAGATTTCATTCTCAAAGTTGGTTTCTACAATACATTTAATTACCCATTTTTGTTAGTTGACTTTGCTGTGACAAAACAGTGAAACATCATAATCTTATTTGCTGCCACTAATAGAAAGAATAGAATCTCTGTTGTGAGTAAATTGCTTTATGAACCATTCCTAGTCTCTTTTCTAATACAGATACATAGTAATTAACTTAATAAAATGAATACCTACAAGTATCATCTTATAAGCTGGCCTTTTTGCTTGCTCATTTAACAAATATTATTGAGAACCTACTATGTACCAGATACAATCTCAGGTGCTGGATATGTAATATTGGTTATATCATAGAGTATTGTGTTTATCTTTGTAGGTGGACTCAGTTTTTCCAAATTACCAACACCACTCCCCCTCAAGAAAACCCATAAAACTTTCTGTAGAAAATTCACCATGTCTTACTACATTGCATTTAATGTAATGTCTGCATCCTAAAAACCGTACTGAATCTGTATATCAGCTATTTTGGAAACAATTAGTAGTATTTTGATGATTTCTATTCATGACATTTCTGTCTCTGGCACTTGAATGGTTGCTCTAGACAGGGCTGGTACAAATGAGTGGGGTTTCCTTTGTGTCTCCATAATGTAGCCAAGGTCATCATTGGGAAACTACCCAGACTAGTGTCTAAACCTGTTTGGTTGCAGTGTCTCATCTCAGGAATGTTGATTTGAGTGAGTTTTAATTGTTATTTTCATTTGCAGGTTCCTTTTTCCTCTTAATATGTTTTAACTTAGAAGAAAGAAAAGCACAGTGCCAATTTTCATTAAATCTGTATAGTTGGTACATCAGTAGTTATCCTGTTATTCTCTGTACTTGAAGTATATAATTAATCTGTTTAAAAAAAAAACACGCAACTCTAGAGAAGAACCTGTCATTCCCAATCTTCGTCTCAGTTTGGCATGTTTCTTGCGTCTGGCGAAAGTAGTGTAAGGAAATGAGAACTATCAAACCAAATCAGAGGTATATTTAGCCCAAGAATCTAGTAAACAAATGATCTTTAAAAGTTTTATATGTGTCTCCCATGGCTAGCCATTCAAGAAACCATTGGAAAAATATGAAGCCACAGAAAGAAAAGTAACATTGAACTCCTGAGAAAAACTTAAAGATTTCTAGAGTAATAACTATTTACCCCTACAATATTTCTTGCTGATTATGTGACAGTTACCCTGTGGCTTATAAGTGTATCCACAATTTCCTTTTTAGAATTTCAGTATTGAATCTGTGTTTTAATTTGTTGTAGTAAGAGATGATATTCTAAGTTTATAACTCAAGAATATTAAGACTTTTTTTATACTTTAAATTTAATAGGGAAAACTTTTAAAGGCTTTCTGATTGAAATACAGAATGATCTACAACAAATTAACTCTTACTGGAGTCATTTTTCACCTAATCCTAAAAAGTTGAAAAGCTTAGAAACTTTCTTACCTCCCTTTAGCTTACCAAAGAAGTGTATGAGAAGTCTTAAACTTTCACTGTTCTAAAATTACCCCTGAATAAAGTTGGAGGGAAAGGTGACCAACTGGAAAACATGCCTGAGTGAGTGAATTGGTAGTGAGGAAGGCATTAAGGTTCTGTTGTGTGCATGGAGAAGTGATGGTATCTTCTCTAAGTCCCAGGTCACCAACCAAGTGATACTATGGATAGCAAATATATATCGAACATAGCAATATTCGTAGTACTGTCCTTTCTTTGGTTTCACCCTCAACTTATTCCTAGTTGAGGGATAGAGTAACAGACTTGATTTTTTTCATCAGCTGAACTATCTCATTTTGAGATTAGAAACTAGAATCTTCCAGTTAGAAAACAGTTTCTGACTATGCTGTTTATCACAACCTGTCCTTTCCCCACCCCCCTAATGTAAGATCTTTCATAGTTGCTAGTTTCTATAACCCCTTCATTTATGACATAATCTAATTGGAGAATTAAGTAGGAATCAGAAATAAGGCAGACCTTTTGGGAATTAATGGTGGGGAGGTGAGAAATTTTTTGGTAGGTTTCATTCATCAGTAGGTTGATTTATGAATGTGAATTTTGCTGTTTTTCCCCTTCATTTCAGCTTCTGCTCATTCTGTCTCTTTTTCTTCACAATAGGCCTGGAATGTTCTGGCTCTGGATGGCAGTAACTGGCAGCGAATTGACCTGTTTGATTTCCAGAGGGATATTGAGGTATAATTATGTGGTGTGTGGCCCCATTTCTCTTGTTAGAATGTAATTACAGCATGGCACAGATTAGCCCCAACCATATAAATCTCCTTTCCCTGGAGAGGGAAACTGTTAATTTCACTGCATCTGAACTTCGTGGGAGCCTGCAACGTTCCCAAGAGCTTGTTCAGTTTTTGAGAATTATTTTACTCAAAAAAGACTAAATTATTTAGTTCTAATAGGACTAAAAAAAATTTTTTTTTTTGCAGTGGAAATGTGAACCTGTGTTTGCTTATTTTAAGGAAGTCTTTTGGTGTGTGTTTATTGAAGAATAAGTAGAGTTAACAACTTGTTGGGGGATGGTATTTGCATAAGTTATTCTTGAGATGAGCGTTTTGGTTCTTGGGGAGCCTATGGATAGTTTTTATGGAGAATGAAAAAAGAATAAAGCCAAAATCATTTATTTTGCTAGGGAGAGATTTCTTTCTTTTCTCACTTCCCACATATTTCATTGCTTAGTATAGCCTATTATCTCTGAGATGGAGAAGCATAATGGCTTAAGCTTAAATTATTCTAACCTGAATTTGAGCTCTGTGGTCTTTGGGTTTTTCATCAGGAGAGTGGAAATGATAGCTTCCTCATTGTGTTATAAGGATTAAATGAGATTTAGATTTAGATTTTTTTTTTAATTGGGTTTTTTTTTTTTTACGTTCCAGTGAAACTTAATTGTCTTGAGGATTCATGTAAGAAGTTTAGAAAGAGCCTCACATGAACCTTTCATTATTTTCAGAAAGTGCTTTTAAAATAATACCCACTGACATTATGGTGGGTTTTTTTTTTTTCACATTTCTCTAATCCTTATGGATGTAAATATTTAAAGCAACATGACCCACAAAATCATTAAACAAGCTTTCATTAAGTGTTCACTGAGTCTCTCATGTGTTTACAGTATTATAGTAAGCACTTTGGAAAGGATACAGAAATAATAAAGAGAGTTAATGTTCTTCAGTAACTGCGATATAACCAGGAGGGCAGTCTACATTAATATGGTGGCATAAGAGAACTACAGAGCACCATTTCTTAATACAGTGTATCTGAAAATTGAACAAAATAACAACAGAGGGTTTAGGTATGTTTTCAAGTAGATGGGTTAATGAGGAAAGCTTTCTTATAGTAAGTTGAAATTTTCATAATTAATTAGGTCTTTAAAATGAACAGATGTCATCCTTGTTTACAAATTAATAAAAATGAGGATATTTTCTTTTCAAAAACAATGCGGTGGCTTATCTTTCTGTTTACTTGTTCTTTTTTACAGGGCCGGGTAGTGGAGAATATTTCTAAAAGATGTGGGGGCTTTTTACGAAAGTTAAGTCTTCGTGGGTGTCTTGGCGTAGGAGACAATGCATTAAGGTAAGAACATAACTACTGATTAACTGATCATCTTGACTCTTAAAGTGAAGAATAGTATCTCACTCAGAAAAGGCTAAAATAGTTTTTATATTCCTAGGCTATTCTGAAAAAATCAGATTCCCTGTATCATAAATGATTGTTTTGGAACCTTGAGTAAATTCTTTTTTAGTTTGTTTACTCAAAGTTAGGATAATTTGGGGGCCAGCCTGGTGGCATAGTGGTTAAGTTTGCATGCTCTACTTTGTAGGCCTGGGGTTTGGAGGTTAGGATCCCAGGTGCAGACCGAGAACCGCTTATCAAGCCACACTGTGGTGGCATCCCACATAAAATAGAAGATTGGCACAGATGTTAGCTCAGGGCCAATCTTCCTCACCAAAAAAAAAAAACAAACAACAACACACACACACAAAAAGGATAATTTTAACTTTGGTTGACAAAAAGATCAATGTTTAAAAGTTTATAGTTGAACATTAATTTGTTTGTAATTGTGAGCTACTTTTGTACCAACGTCCAATATTACCAATAACATCTTTTATTATTATTTTTTTAATGCCTTGAATTGTGCCCATTTAATTTCACACCTTTTACTTTGTTTCTTTCCTGTAAAGGACCTTTGCACAAAACTGTAGGAACATTGAAGTACTGAATCTCAATGGGTGTACAAAGACTACAGATGCGTAAGTATTTTGTTTTAGAAGGGTAAGTCACAGTCCCTTGTGTCCTGCCTACGTTAGCTTTAAATACAGGCTACTAAACACATTTAGCAAATTTCATTTTGGTTTTATAGAGGAAAGAGATTTTAAAAGCTGAAAGTGACATTAAAGTAAAAATGGAATAAGAAACTTATTTTGGAATCTGGCCCAAATCCTAGCTTGGTTTTTTTTTTTTTTTAATATTTTATTTTTCCTTTTTCTCCCCAAGACCCCTGGTACATAGTTGTGTATTTTTAGTTGTGGCTCCTTCTAGTTGTGGCACGTGGGACGCCGCCTCAGCATGACTTGATGAACAGTGCCACGTCGTGCCCAGGATTCGAACAGGCGAAACCCTGGGCTGCCGAAGCAGAGTGCGCAAACTTAACCACTTGGCCACGGGGCTGGCCCTCCTATCTTGATATTTAAAGTGAAACTTCAAAATTGTAGTCAGTGAATATGCAGTAGAGATATTAATAATACAAATTACTAGGACTACTTATATTTCAGTAAGATACTAGGAGCTATCATTCAAAAGACAAAGTAAACAGATAATTCTATAAAAAGATGTAAAATCTTAAACACAGGACTAAACATTGATTATGATAATCAATATTGAGAGCATTTATTATTATATAGTATGTGTGCTGCTGAAGAGAGCACTGAGAGCATTTGTTAAACGACTCTTTAAATATTTTGCACTGTGTCTGTGTCAGTCACAATATGAAAGAAATAAAACATAATCCTGGGGCTGGCCCTGTGGCCGAGTGGTTAAGTTTGCACGCTCTGCTTCGGGGGCCCAGGGTTTCACCAGTTCAGATCCTGGGCACAGACATGGCATCACTTGTTGGGCCATGTTGAGGTGGTGTCCCACGTGCTACAACTAGAAGGACCCACAACTAAAATGTATAACTATGTACTGGGAAGGTTTGGGGGGAAAAAAAAGCAGGAAAAAAAAAAAAGATTGGCAACAGTTGTTAGCTCAGGTGCCAATCTTTTAAAAAAAAAAAAAAACCATAATCCTTTATTCTTGAGAGTTTATTGTCAACAGACACAATAGACATAAAAGGTAGACATGAAAAACATTCAGCCCAAAGATATATATTGATAATAACATATATCAAATAACATTTAAATACTATGTAGGGAAATTTTTGCTTATCATGAGGTGAAGCAAAGCCATTGAAGAAGCATGTTTACACAGAGAGGGGCCAGGATTATTCACTGAATCTTCCTGTTCAGAAAGGCCTCATAAGATCTTTAGAATTTGAACAAAGGGAAGTGGAAGACACTCCAAGTACAGGGTACACATTGTTTATTTTATTCTTTTCTTTGAGGTTGCAACACTGTTAACTTTTAATATAGAAAGTGTCTGAAAGACACTTATGGCTATTAATTCTGCTAACAAGTATTACTCCTATGGATTGATTTGGAAACCTCTAATGTGAGAGACAAATTTACTACCCTCCCCCACCATGACTTATACCAGTAGCCCTTCATTTACTTTAGATAAATTACCTGTTTATTTTTTTTCCTTAGAATACTTAATGTTACAGAGATTGAGAATTTGACTACTTGGTATCTAGAAAAGTGACATATTATTTACTCTTTTTTCAAGGTATCTATCTTAGATAACAAAAATACACTGGCAAAAATATAATATGATTTATATACGAGGCTATTAAGTTTTACTGTTTGTAATAACAAATACTGCATTATTTTTAATAGCGAAAGACATTAAACAACTCAAATGTGTATCAGTAGAGGACTGGTTAAATAAAAGGAATGAGGAGAATCTCTGTATAGTAGTCCAGAGTGATCTCCAGTACATATTGTTAAATTAAGAAAGCAAACTATGGAGGAGTTTGTATAATAAGATACTTTTTTGTAGGGCCGGGGAGATAATCCAAATATATTTCCGTATTTACTTATATTTTCAAAAAGAAACAGTAATTAACTATTTAATCAAAAACTGATACAAATAGTTACTTATGGGGGAGAGAGAAGGCATGAACAAGCAGGGATGAAAGGGAGACCTCTGAATATCATGTTTTATAATTTTACTTTAATAGCCATGTAATTGTTTTACATAATTAAAACATGAATTAAGGGCTGGCCTCATGGCCAAGTGGTTAAGTTCATATACTCTGCTTCAGCAGCCCAGGGTTTCCCAGTTCGGATCCTGGGCACGGACCTAGCAGCACTCATCAAGCCGTGCTGTGGTGGCATCCCACGTAGAAGAACTAGAATGACCTAGAACTAGGATATACAACTATGTACTGGGGCTTTGGGGAGGAAAAAAAAGCAAACGTGAATTAAGTCAAAAAGAAATCAAAGCAGTCCCTAAAAATTGAAAACAAAACACACAAACCTAACCATGTCAAGTTGGAGCTATAATCACAGAGAGAGAAATTACTTCTACTGACTTTTGATTTCTTATGAAAAATTTTAAACATTCCAAAGTAGGCAAAATAGTATAGTAAACCTATCACGTAGCTTCAAATTGATAATTGAGAAATTAATCCCTTTATGGCTCATCTTGTTTCATCTGTACCCCCACTCACCTACCCCTTCTTATTTTATATTATTTTGAAAAAAATCCTAGACATCGTATTATTTAATCTGTAAATATGCATTTCTAAAATATGCATCTCTAAAAGATAAAAGCACATTAACTTTATCACTCCTGCAAAAAAAATTTAATATCTTAAAATCGTTAAATAACCACTGGTCAGTGTTCAGATTTTTGCCTGAACTAGTGACATTAGAAATGCAATATTTTAAACACAATATAGAAGAAAATTATACAAACTTTAAAAATCAAAGACAGAGACTTCTGCTTTTGACCATGATGATAACTGCCCTCCTGCTGTAAACAACTATAAAACTGTACAAAACATAGGAAACAACCAGTTTGAAATGTTAGACAACATGCAACACAGGACTGAGAAACAAATGAGGTAAGCCATATGATTACCCTGGCTTTCAGCCTGATGGCATTTTCCAGATAATGGCACAAGGAGAAGGAACGCAAGAAGAGCACAAAGTTCTGGTTGATTTGAAGAGAAAGAGATCAGAGTTCAGGGAGACCAGAGTGGCTGTAATTTCTGTCTAGAGAAGGGGGAACTACTCAGAAAAGGTCTACAGAAATCTACATAGATTTGGCTGAATAGTAAACTATGTATGCACATATTGAGACCCCACAAAGCTGGGCAAAGAACATCTAATAAGGAAAGAGCAATTACTGGGAAACTGTAAACTGAAGAATTCCAAGAATTTAAATAAGGCTTGGAGAAGTTCTAACTACACAAAATGGAGAAAGCTCGTGGAACACCTTGGGACATTTAGAAAGAGATTTCAGAAAGCTCGTTCCTTGGTAGTAGAGCTGAACTAAACCTGCCCTAATAATGATTAAAAGAAAAAATTTAGGATCAGATTGAACCACAACTAACTTAACTGCCTGCCAAATCAAAACTCAACATTCTTTAAAGAAGACGACAAAATCTAGACACTCAGAAATGTAGCATACAGAATTTTCATCATTTAGTCGAAAATTACAGTACATGCAGCGAAGCAGGAAATGATAGCTGAAGAAGAACCAGAAGAAAAACCTGTCAATAGAAACAGACCTAGAAAGGACAGAGATTATAAAATTGACCAAAAAAGAGTTTTAAAAAAGCAGTTGCCAGGGTCAACCTGGTGGCGTAGTGGTTAAATTCACACGCTCCTCTTTAGCGGCCTGGGGTTCACCAATTCAGATCCCGGACACAGACCTACATACTGGTTATTAAGCCATGCTGTGGCAGGCATCCCACATGTAAAAAAAGTAGAGGAAGATGGGCATGGATGTTAGCTCGGGGCTAATCTCCCTCAAAAGAAAAAAACAAGTACATATATGCTCAAGAATTTAAAGAAAACTTAAAGATAATATGGAGATTAAGAGTAAAAGGATGGGAAAAGATATACTATTACTAATGACAGGAAACTTTACTGATTTTTTTTATATCAAATGATGTAAACATCAGGAAAAAGGGTAAATGGAAAAGATATTAAATAGTATCCTCTTCTTTTAGTAAATGGTTAAACTAGTAGACAAAAAAACAGTAGAAAGCTATAGAAGTCTTGAAAACACTTTCAGTGAACTTGTCCTATTTGACATTTATGGAATGCTGTACCAAAAAGCACCCCAAAAAGCATTCTTTTTTTTTTTTTTAAGGTATGCTTTTTTTTGGTCCTGAGCTAACATCTGTTGTCACTCTTCCTTTTTTTTTCTTATTTTTCTTCCCAAAACCCCAGTACATAGTTGTATATCCTAGTTAAAAGTCCTTCTGGTTCTTCTGTGTAGGATGCTGCCACAGCGTGGCTTGAAGAGCGGTGTGTAGGTCCAACACCCAGGATCTGAACCAACAAACCCTGGGCCACCAAAGTGGAGTGCACAAACTTAACCACTACACTACCAGGCCAGCCCCCAAAAAAGCATTCTTTTGCACTTGGAATATTCAATAAGACACACCAAATAATGGTTGTAAAACAAATTTCAATCAATTTAGAAGGCTTGAAATCATGTTGAATGTGTTCTATAGCCTCAACAAAATTAATGTAGATGTCAGTAATACTTATCTATAAAACTTAAAAATTAAGTATTACACTTCTGAATAACCCATGGGCCAAGGGATAAATTACAAAGAAAATTAGAAAATATGTTTTGTTATGTGATAATGAAAACACAACGTTTGAAACTTGTGGAATCCACCGAAGGCAGTGCTTGGAGCAAACTGTATACCTTTAAATGCTTACATTAGAAAAGAAAGATTGAGAGTCAAGGCTCTAAATCTAGTTTTTAGAAAACTAGAAAAAGAAAAATAAATCCACAATAAGTAAAAGGAAAGAAGAGAAAAAGTAATGGTGGAAATCAGTGAAATAAAAAATAGGCGTAGAGTAGAGAAAATCCGTGAAAGCAGAAGCTGGTTCTTTGAAATAGAATCAGT